TGGCACAGATTTGTTTGTTATAGAATTATTGCATATTTTTGTTATATATAGATTAGCCATTAGGTACGATGAATATTTCATATATATATATATTATATACGTATCATTTAGTTTAGGTGCACGCATTTAACTTTGTATGTGAGAAACATTAAGTAGATAGGTAACTTAAACCAGTTAAACCTATATAATATGTATGTCTTACTACCAGTTCACCGGGCATATAACATAGAGTAAGACATATTTTTTTTATTCTAGTTTTTAAAGTTATAAACGTTATGTAGTGTTTATTTCTTCCTGTAAACTCAAGGCTGAAAATTTTTTGAATAATAGTTTAACAAGTCAATTCTAAAATATGATTAAATGCGCAGTTCTTATTTTGTATATAGAAAAGTAATTTTTATAATTTATATAACTCATTCAATAAATAATTATATTAAGTAAAGCATTTATTTATAAAATTGACACCAACAGCGGAGCGATATCCGTTTGCGTACATTTAACTTTTTTTGCGACTCGTTTGCGTACAAATGTACAACTCGATTGCGCACACGAATTTTTAATATCTGTGATAAATGACCCAAAACGTAGGACTCGTTTACGTGCATAAACTATAGCAAAAGTCTACTAAAACCCTTAACAAAAATAATGTTTAAGATTGTTTTCAAACATTTTGCTTACATCTAAACAACAGATTACCTGATTTTAAAACACGAAACTCACTATACTTATAGTTTTCAATATTAAAACAACGTTTTCGTCTGCGCGCTTCAAAAACATTTGATATTTGAATGTCCATGGTACTACACAAAATAAAATGACTAATATGCTATCTCGATAGCATCACACGTTCGACTAAATAATAGGCATATAGTAACATACAGCGGTCGTCAATAATCCACACATTTATCTAAAAAAACATTATCGTTTAGAACCGCACACTATAATAGTTAATCAATTACGTGTATCTATCTTATCGAAATTTGCTCTACAAGTAACAATATAAGTCTAATTTAATAGCTGTACGCAAACTAGTCGTCATTTTTCAGGTCTAAATTAGTATTAACCGGGTTTTCACGTTTTTCAATATACGCAAACGAGTTGTCAGTTYACAGGTAAAAAATTGTGTACTGTGCGCAAACGTGTATCACCGCAACAGSGATAACATAATTTTTATAAATTTATTAAAATGAAAATATATTGTTTAATGTTTAATAATTAAGTCAAAGATAATGGTCTATTTATCAAGTATTTAACATTAATAATAAAAAAATTAATTTAATTTAATGCCATAGAATTTGGAGGCTTATACATAATCATCTTTTTTTTTATTTAAGGATAAATGTATCTTATTATTTTGTATAATACTATTATGTAGTTATAATATATAAAAAAAACTTTAAATCTATTATAATTTCCAATTTTAAAATATCAAAGAGTATATTTAGTTAATAGAAGCAAACAAATTTTAACAAATATTTTAAATACTGTACCCRTATAAAATTAATTATGAATAAAAAAAATATATTTCATGGTTCTTTTTTAAAATTTGTTGGAACATATACTTTATGCTTGATACTGTATAATGGTAATTGATACTGTACCTTTATGGATATATTATAAAATTGGAAATAATCATCAAATTATGTGCAAAAATGCATATAATGTAGGTAGTATATTCGTTTATTAYCAAACACAAAATATTACCTAATAGTGTCATTTATATAAGGAATAAGAGATTATGAGAAGGGACCCACTCATCATAACTTCACAGTGCTAAAATCTAGCTATCCCAATATGATTAATATTGATCATATTTATAAATATTATAACATTCCCATTATTATAGGTATAGCTTGAAAATATTTATTCAGAAATAGCACTGTTATGTTACAATGTTTCAATGATTGGTCTGAATCAATTAGATTTTTCGTTTAAAGAACTGCTGGATAAATTAATATAAACAGCAATTAAAATTCGCACGAGTTMCTCAGTTAAAACACAGTACTGAGAAGTAAGTGGGATTTATTAGTGTTTTTCTTTCGAGTTGTAAAGCCGACTTAATACCAGTGGATCACAGTTGATCTCAAACGATTTTTCGTTGTGGCCTACTGCAGTTTTTTTCAATATATTATGTACCTATTCCCAGCTTATTTATTTTAGTCTATGTATTACCATAATTCATCTCGAATTATAATAACCTTTAACATCTTGATCAATAATCTATATCTTACGACTTAGGCTTAAGATGCATTACTAAATTATAGGATACTTTAAAATGGAAATGCTATAAATAATAATAATAATAATTATATAATGTTAGGATGTCAATATAAAAAAAATATGATTTAAACAACAAATTTAAAATTAAATTTATTTAATGAATGTTATTATGTTATATCAATTATAATTTATAATG